AGAGCAGACAGGAATTGTGATGTGGACACCACTGCCTGACAACGCAGCTGTTTTAGAGACCACGCTTCACATCATCACTGAGGGGCTGTAAGGACTTAAATGGCATTTGAGACAGGCAAATGGGATTTTAAGGCCACAGAAGGACTTTGCCATGAGATAAGCACAGGATGGAGTGGCAGGGTGGCCTGGCTCCAGGCATGGCACATCCTAGATAATCCATTCAGACAAGGGTTCCTACTTTGGCAAACTGTGCAGAAGCATGTACACATATTGCTGGTATCACCTCAACACCTTGTTTACACTTTAATTCCAGCAGAGGCCTCTCTCAATAATGGGATAAAACAGAAGCATTAAAAATAACATATGTAATATACAATCACTGTTGCTTTGAGGGGAAAGAAAATATTCCCTGGGATTTATCAAAAATGAAAAAAAAAATACAGTGAAAAAAAATGAAAGGAAATCCACAACTGGTAAGTGAAGAATAATACATAATCAGCTGGTTTGAACTTCTTTTGAAAGGAATTAGGCAAGGCTTCAAGAGTCAAAAAAGATTACCAGTCTTCTGATGTAGCAATTATAAACCTACAACTTGAAACTCTGAGAAAGGAAAAATAGGCTCCTAAATTTTGGAATATGCTTACTGCAGCTAATAAATTCAGTCTACATATGTACCAAAATCTTCCTAGATTCCAATATGTATTAGTAGTGAAATCCTGGGTTAGCATCTGCACTAAACAGTGCTGTACAGAATGGCATTAGAGCTGTAACTCTCCCCCTTAGCAGCACCCCAGGTAGTCACTGTGATTTCAAGAAGCTTTCTCATGTATTTGATCTCACACTTAAGAACCTTGCTCAGGTAAGTACAGTTGCAAGGTACAAATGAAAGAGCTTGGGCAGAGACAGAATATTGAAAAGACTCACTACATAGGCTCATTGAGGGTTTACCAGAAAAAAAACAACTTGATCTTAAGAGTCTGAAGAACTGTCAAATGATTGGTGACATTTAAAATCATGAAATAAAATCACTATATTTGAGTTGTAAGGAACTTTTAAATGCCATCTTATCCAATCCTTCTGCAGTAAGCAGGAACACCTTCAGCTAGATCATGTTGCTCAGAGCCCCATCCAACATCCCTTGAATGCTTCAATGGATGGGGAATCCACGACTTCTCTAGGCAACATGCTTCAGTGTTTCACCATCCTCACTGTAAAAGCCTCCTTCCTCAGATCCAGTTTGAATTTACCTTCTTCCAGTTTAAAAACACTGCCACTCATCTTATCATTTTTCTAGGCTCTTCATCTGTAAAGCTCTCCTAAAACTCAGGAAAATATTTCTGACATGAAAAAGAGTTGTCAAATGACTATGTCTGCTTCATGACATAACAAAATCTGTAGCTCCAAGAATACTTCAACAGCAAATAATACCTTTGAGTAAAAATCAAAATCAGAAATATGACTGAAGTACTAATGCAGAAACCACCTTTAAATTAGCCAGTTCAGAGGGTTGCATGCTGCCATCACAATTCTGAACTGCAGGGCAGCCATATCCAAAGAAACACATCAAATGAAGTGCACAACTATCAGCTTGACTTTAAATCTGATTTAAAAATGGTGCACCTGAACTTCACTATACTTTTTTTCATGCACTAGTAGCACATGAATCGTTTTCTATATTTACCCATGAACATCACACAGCAGAACACTATCTGCTCCAAGACTCGTGTGTCTTCAGACACTTCTTTTTCCATGCTGCCTCTTGTAGGCTGACCTTTCAGCCCGAGAGTTTGGACAGTGATGCAGATGCTAAGTTGATTTAAAGCATAACATACAGTTCCCTGGGCCATGGATCCTCTCCCATGCTACCTTGTAAGAACTTGAAACTGAAGTGAGGATTCCTCATGCTCTGTGCCAGCAGCTGATTTATTTATATTATAATTCAGACAGGGAGGACTAAAATTAGGACTCTGTAAGCAGAATTCACTGCTCAAAATATTCCAATTGTTTTAGCATCTGGACACCTTTGAGAACAACTGACTGATGCATCACTATGGCAACACAAAGAGGCCTCAGTAACTTGAACTATTAAGACAGCAAGAGGTTTTTCAGGCTTGTATTTCTACAAAATATGGCAAAGCTAATGCAACATCCTAGACAAAGTGGAGGGCTGAGAAAACAAAATAAGAAAGAGCTCACATTTCCTGTTTGTCACCCTAACCTCACACTGACCTTTGATTTTGCTGCCTCAATGCATGTTGTGGAGTGGAAAGACAAAAACCACTAAGGCGTGCTCTTCCTCTTGCCAAATCTATTCCTGGTGAATAACTGAGGTAGGGATTTTGCCCAGTGCACAAGCAACGAGTCAGCAATTACCTGGCTACCACTATGAAATTACTCCCCGATGAAATGGTTTGAGCTACCAAGAATAAATACAGGGTAGGGGGAAAAATTGGCCCTTTACTCCTGCAATCCTGATAAGAACTTATCACGGACACTTAAAATCTCTTTAAGATCTGCTGCTACCACTTCTGGCACCATTTGCTGCTTACAAAAAAAATACATTAGGCAAATACATTATTTAAAGCCACTAAACAGTTTCTTTCTAAAACAAAATAACATCATTAATCAAATATTATACAAGTAGCAATAAGAGGTTTTTCTTTTTTCCCCCTGCCCAGTCTTCACAGCTTCTTGTGTCCTGAATGTCTTGGATGTAATTTTACTGTGCCATACAAGAGAATTATTTTTAGCTATTTGTAACTGTTTAACATTTTATTATCATTAATATGCATTTTATCTGGTTTGGATTACAGACTTTCTTATGTAGCTTTAGAAAGCATTAGTTATTTTAAACACACTCTGTCCCTGTAGGGCCTGAAGGCAGAAACTTCTCTCTACAGGACCTTGATGGCTGGCAACTGTTCAGCCCTCTGTGATATGCACAATTTTTGGACATGCAAGTCAAAACCATATAGATACACAAGGATAAGTATAAAAATCAAAGCATCTGTGTCATTTTCCACATGAATTGAGTATCAATAACAATAATCCACACATGCAGATACATGGAGTCTGCATTCCAGTCCACAGAATTCAACAAACACCAAGGGCATGTTTACATTGGAGACAGATGACACTGGGATACTTAGACACAGGAATTAGGATCTGTTTTGCTTCCATTAACCAGATATGAAGAAAGCTATCTCCATGAAGAAAGCACAGGGTGAAATGCAAGATCAGTATGCTGATATTTCATTCATAATGTTGGAGATTTTCCTGAAGTTGCCTGCTTTCACTTCCCTACAATTACTTTCAAGGTTTCTACAAAATTTACCAAATTCCAGTTGCAATCTTTTTCCAGCAAGATGGTTCTGTTTAATTTCAAATATATTTGTCAGAAATGTTGGCTTAAAGACACTTGTGCGCTGATATAGTTTCATATCGAGACGTTCAAATACATTTATTCTGTTTAAGCACAATCTTGTTCCTCGTTGAAAGAATTCCAGAGCCAGAGGTTGTATTTTTAAGCATTAGTATTGAAAGAGTGGCAGAGGTTAGAGCATATTTCTGAGACCTCTGAGTGCTTAGGAAAAGTTATGTCTGTGTTCTTAGAAGATAACACTAATCAGGTTGTTAAAAAAAAAAAAAAAAAAAAACAAACCAAAAAACCCAAACATGCCAAAAATCTGGTAGGTGGCTTCATTCAGCACATGCTAAACAGATATCAGAGCTTCTTACTTTGAATTAATAAGACAATCTCATCACAGTAGATGAAAAAGCCAATCAAACAACAGTGCAGGTTTCCCTTTTAGTGAAGACAAGAAAAAATGTTCTATGCTGCTGTGAACTAACCAGAAAGATTATTCTGGATTTCAGCACAGTATTTTACAGTCCATTGCCTTTCCAATCTCTTGGTATTCAGAGAACCACACAACAGAAGCATTACAACAATTTGATGCCCACAGCATTTCGAACACAAGACCCTTGCAGTAATACCTAGAGAGCAGGTAACATACTGTGTTAAATTTTAAGTAGAGGTAGTCTAGATGAAATGGGTTTATCACCATGTTGAAAAAGATACCACACCCAGATACAGACTTAAGTCATAGATCTGGAGCAAGATCAAAACCCATCTAATCTACTCTAATCCACCAGTGGTGTTTTGGATGTTTCAGGGATTTTGGGGATGTGGGGTAATGTTTTCATTTTCTTACGATAATAGGCATGTAAGCCAGGACTCCACAGACGATGTTAAAGCTAAACTTGTACATACCAAGAGAAGCAGAAAATTAAACATAAATGAACAGGAATGATGTTATCCATTGTCATATTTTTAATACCTTCCACACTTTAAAAGGCACAGACCTCAAGTTTGTGTTATGATAAAGCCTTATAATTGTGTTTTCTTTCTTTTCATTAAAACAAAATTACTTTTATTCTCCAAGGACTCAATCATTAAGAAATAACCATCCAGCCTGGTATTGCAAGGCAAATGTTACCACATACTCTGATTTTCATCTAATGCAAGATACCAAAATACACTGTAATTTAGTAAACAAAATTTCTCTAGATGAATGCACTACCACACTTTTGAAGATGCCTCTTGTGCCACAGAGGTAAAATGGTCACTGGAAAATACTGAAATATAGCAGATGAGCTGAGCATTTACAAATCACCTTCTTTATAAAAATCAACTACTTGCAAGAATGAAAGGACTATTTGAACAAAAAGAATCACCTTATCAAACCTGTTTAAAAGTCAGTTTCTCAGCATATAAAAGGCTCATTCCCTCTATATATATCATTACCAAAAGTCTTGGGAAAAAATGTAGGCTAATGAACAAAAGCAGCAGCTTAGCCTCAGGCCAGTTTCTATTTTTGGAAACACCTATGAAAGCCTAGATGAAAGAGAAAGGAGGGTGTGTATGCACACCCATGAGAAGGATTCTGGCCTGGTGTTTAAATTGCAATTGTAAAAGATCATATTATTTGATAACTCACTGTTTGGACACATCAGGCATTCTCATCTGTTCTTTTTTCCTTGTATCCACTGTCGTCTCTACAGGGGCAAGTACTACAGCAGCACATGACACTATTGACTGGCATGAGTCTTCCCGGCACACTGCAAAGATAAAAAGTATCAGTGTTAACCACTGAAATCAGTTTGCACTTGAAGAAAAAAAAGGAAGAAAAATATCTATTCATACTGTGATAAATACAAATGCAAATAATTAATCAGGCTTCACTGTGGTCACATGCAATGAAAATGCTATTATTTTTCACGTTTCCTAACCTGCTTACTTTGCACATTTTTTGCCACTGATTGATCATTCACTAAGTTTTACCTAGCACAAGATCTGCTCTCAGTCTGCTCTAGCTCATTGGTGTGTTTGAGTCCTAAAAGGACTTATATTTCATAAATGACATCAGAGTATGATTCACTTCTTAGTTATTTTTCATCACAGACTGAAAATAAGGGTGGAAATAATGAGTGGTTTCCAGGCAAACCTCCCACTTTCAAAAAGTTCGGAATTTTTTAAGAAAACAGATTTAAGAAAATCTAATTAGTGATTTATTTTTCACTTTTATGATTCATTTTACTCCAAAAAGGCCAAATCCAAACCATCTAGAAGGAATATCTGATATCTGACTTATGCTTTCTTATAATAAAAATAGTGTCAGTATTAATGTGCTGAATGTTACAACTTAGACAGTATTTAGAACTAGAAGAATGATCACGCACTTGAGCTGAACATTTGGATCAAATAGAACTAATAAATGAGTATCTAAAGGTTTCTGACCTTTGAACAGACAACTATATATATTACAATTCATGAACATTCTTAAAATGTGAATTTTAAGTGTCACTAGTAATTCAGCTTCTAGCAGTGAGGACTCCTACTGATTTTGAAGCTTTAGATTGCCTTTACAGCCAAGGCATGAAACAAATGAAAGCTGGAATTAAGAGTTGGTTTCATTAAACAAAGCATGACAGCTTCTTATCTTTCATTTGGTACTTCAATGTATTATATACAAGCAAGAAGAAATGTGGGGGCCTGTGTTTAAACAGAAAGACATGCAGTATTTTATAACATACAGAACCCTTTCATACAGAGTGAACACATGTCCACAGAGCCAATAACATAACCTGTAAAACCAGAATGACTGTGGCAAATTCTGAGCAATTCAAACCCAGCAAGAACACATTTCACAAGTACATACATTTATGCAGGACTAGTACAGCTGAGAATTGAACTGTGACATTGATTTATTATTATGTTCTCCACAATCATGTGCCCCCTTATTGCCCACAGACAACATACCTTTGGCACAGCCTATGCTCCCCTTACAAAAGAAAGAAAACTGGAGTAGAACTTCACCTATCTTGACCTGACTGGGTCAAGAACAGCTAACTGTACCATTTTAAAACCCTTACGACTTACTTCCAGCCCACACTCAGCACATACCAACAGGACACAATGGTGCTCCACAAACACCCTGAAACACCACCAGGTCGGGGCTGGATATTTCTACAAAGGTCTTTTTCTGCTTTCTGAGCAGTTCTGAGCCATTCAGCAAGCAGTACAAAAGACTCAAGCACAGGCAGCTCTGTCAGGAAGGAAACCTTTTGGGGAGTGCTTGTAATTGCATTTAATTCATCTGATGTTGTCCAGTATTGTTTATGTTTGTGTTTTAAATATTAACATGCACACTGTGCTAAGTGACTAAGCCCCCTAAGATGCCCAGTATTTTACCTTACCTTCCTTTTTTCTTTGGAACCAGCATTACTCAATACTTTGTCACTATCACAGACACACATCTCCAAAAAACAGTCATACACAAAGAGAACTTGCCACATTGACTGCAGGCATGCAAGCAGGATTTCTGCTATAGCTTGATGCACAACAGATTAATTTGAAACAAATGCAAAATACATTGAACTAAAAAGACAGCTTAAGAAAAAATTGAATTTTTGGTGACTTTACATCCTACTATATTATGTACAACCTGCACACCATCTACTAGCACGATTCTGCTTGGTAGGCACCAAGTAATTTACGAAACAGTATTTCCTCATTATAACCAGTGACTGAGTATGTGCAAAAAAAGAACATTTATGTCTCTTTGTCTCTTTCTTTACAGTCAAAGAATTGCCAAAAAATAAGCTTGTACACTGCTGATATTCAGCATTTGAATTTTAACCAGAAACACTGAGAGAGCATAAAGGATGAAGCAAATACATATTTTTCTTCAGAAGACCTGCATTACTACTAGAGTATCAAGTTATTACTTTAGAACCCATAAAAGGTCTGGTGACAAGCATCACAGGGGAGGGTTTGCTTAGATCAGGCACTGTCCACCAGAGTAGCTACAAAAAATGATAAAAGAGGGAATCACATGTAACAAAGAAGACAGTGCAAGTCTCCCACTCTTTACAGAAAATTCATTAATGAATAAAACTGTGAAATTGCTTTTGTTTAATAATTAATGCTATACAGGTGTTGTATAATCCCCTAATTTACAGCTAAAGACAAAACTAGTGGTCATCCAGTGATTGCAGCTCATGGAATGTACTATCCCTCCATTCCAGACAGCAATACTCTTTGGTATCACTTTTGAAAATCACTGCAATTCCTCCTTTTTATCTCAATTGTCTGTGCACAGTCGTAAGTCATTATCGACAGCATAATTAACTAAAATGTCATGAAGTAGTGATGGCACAGCAACAAGCAATTTTCACCTACTGGAGTGTAGGCTCTTACTACCTGTTCATAACCTTCAATAAAATAATGAGAACGTGCTTGAATGTGGACTCTCAGCTTTAACACTGATGGGGATGGGCATTGTTTTACTTAAGACTGCATTTTACATTTCAAACTCAACTCTTAAGTGTAGCTTCATTTCTACAACTCCATTTTTTAATCTACAAGTGGCTTATATGACCCCAAAAAAGACCATTCATGATGTCTACACATGCCTACACGTCTGTACTTTTATGAATTGAAATCTGTTCAATCCTCAAACTATCACAATCAGAAAAACAATTACTCTAAGGGATCATTCCTTTTAATCATAAATCCTCTCACGCATCAAACTTGCTCCTTAACATCCAGCAAGAACTGAAAAATTTAGCCTTCCCACATGAATTGGTAAGGAAAGCAGAATTTTTCAGTCATTTGAATTAATGCTTGGCAAAGTCATCAATGTAATCAGCTGTCTCAGCCTACTATATTATTCCTGATGCAGAATGGTGGAAAAAACTGTACAAGTTATCAACAAGGGGGAAAATCAGCCTATTTTGTACTACTTGTAGCAGTTTCTTAAAGAAACTAACATTTAGTATCTCAGAAAGTGTTATACACTGAATAACTTCAGAAAAAAGAAAAGCTATTTGCATGCAAGTGAGATGGCATTTTTCAGTCCTTTATTCGCAATCCAACCATTACACGAACAAGCTAATAATTGTAGTGAAATAACACAACCAGAGGAATATCTGTGTTATCATTATAGAAACATATTTTTCTTAGTGGAACAAAAGACACTACCTACAAATTACAAGTCATGTAAAGGACAGCTCAACAGAAAGGGAAAGCAAACAGTCTTAGCTTCATAGACTACCATTATAAAAGATCTGTACTACTTTTGAAGCTGCAGTTTCTCCCCAGATCCTTCGGTTTAATGATGCATGCAGCTTGTTTTCTTCCATCGCCAAGTGTTTTAAAAGTACCCCATATATTTATCACTAGGAGTGCTGGCTTGGATTTACTCTAGCTGGTTTAGGCAGTCCCAGAACATCATTCACTATCAAAACAGATCTTTACATCTGGAGAAGAAAAACATTAGTTTTTGGGGTTTTTTTTCTCTGCTGTTTCTTTCAAGAACAATGAGAATGACTAATTAAACACTTTACTCCTACTTTGAACCAACCAGTGAAAAATTTTTAAATCCTTAAATAGTAGGACAGTAGGAAGCCTTCAACAGCTACTGAATAGAATGTGTTTCTCCAGAGAATAAAAAGATTTTTAAACTCTAGGGATGTCATTTACATCATCTATTTCAAACACTTAATTGTACACACTTCCCCCCCCCTCCTTTTTTTTTAATTGAGGAGAAAGAAAATCTGGTTATCAGTGGTAGCTATCAAAAAAGTCTCCCTTGACACGATGCAAGATGAAATTAGCAGCAAGTACTACCTGCTTAGAGAAAACAGAAGGGAAATGTTCACATGCAGTGTGCAATGAAGCATAAGGGAATCATGACACAGGGAGACTAAAGCAGTGAAGTATTTCTGGATTTGAGAAATCTGGGCACTTATCCTGACAATCCAAAGTATTTACATTTATGCCTATGAAGTTTAAAATTACCAGCTCTCATCATTCTAGAGACAGATCAAATCTGGAAACAGATGCTGTTTTAAACCAAAAATCCTTCTGCTTTGGTAAAAAACTAAGCAAGCAGCCAGGAGCGCATGGAAGGCACTAAATGCTTTCAGTAAATAACTGAAAGATCAGTCAGCTGCCACTGTAGGAGACAGGGGACTAGGGCATGAGGGAGTAACATCTGGATGTCAAGTATCCAATCCCACACCCCTTTTACTACCAGGCCAGACATTATGTTTTAACAACTCTGAAACACCAGTTCTCTTTGCAGGCACTGAGAACACTTTGGCACATGGTTTCCTAAATACCTCTCTGCCATGAAAAGGCTCAGGAAATGAGTCACCCTCTGAGGTGCTCTGAACAAAGGACAAGAGGTGCAAAATATGTAACCCCTACACAGGTTCCTCAGACAAGGGAAATCCAGGACAAAGAGCTGTTAAACTTAAAACAGAGCTTTCGCTAAAACAAACATGCTAACTAAACCCAAACCACAAACACACCAACCAACCAAAAAGGAAGAGTGGATATATCGTAAATTCCTTCAGTATATTAGAACAAGTCAAGAACTGAGGAAAAAAAACCCATTTACAACACACAACTCAAGTTATTTTGCCAGGAAAATTGCTGACATTAGAAACAGCATATAAGAGAGGATCTTGAAATCCAGTCTAGTAATTCTGGTATGTCCAGGAAGAACTGTGACTAACTACCATCCTTCCTGGGTGCACAGATTTGGCCTCTG